GACGAACGCTGCAGCAAGGTATACATAGGAACGACGAAGCGAGCTTTAGGAGTCAGAATCAACGAGCACAAAACAGACGCGAAAAATAGAAAGATGACAACTGCATTAGCCCAGCACCTGACAAAAAGCGAGCACACAGCGGATTTTGATAATGCAAGAATAGTAGACATCGAGAGGAAAACAAAGAAAAGGATGACATTAGAAGGGCTTCGAATACAGCAACAAATACACTGTGCAATGAATTACAAAGAAGATGTAGATAATATAAATTGCGCATACACAACGATAATAGCGAGTAATAGACGAACAGCTGGGATAAAGTATTGATGTATTTAAATGTTAAGTGTTAATTTAAAAATGTGATGTCCATAAAATAATTAATGTGATTTTATGTTATTATATGTTAAGGTATGTTTGAAAAACATGTTTTGGTATACACGTTTGTTAATTATGTTTTCTTGTAAAAATAAATAGACTCCCTGAGGAAGACACAATAATGTGTCGAAACGCGTAGGAGGCAGAAAAGAAAAACCAACGTTTTTGCTTTAAAATCAACGGCCGAAAAGCTCCAAATATACAAATCGTAACAATTTATATACATTGGCCCTATTTAAAAACTAAAAAATACTAGTATTATTGTGAAAAAGTGTGGGTTGCTCGATAGACGAAAAATATGGCAAAGAGCGGCCCACGCTTTTTCACAATAATACTAGTATTTTTTGTTCATTATTATTTTCAACTTATATTAAGAATTATTTTTTACTTTTTAGTTTGATATGCTTTAAAAGCGTGTTTTTTAGTTTTTTAAACTATATTTATTTATTTATTAAATATAGCGTTGCATTTTTTTAGGAAATTAGATCGGAAGGTCAAAGCGATCTACGATATTTCCTCTAAGCAGATACTTTTTCATTATTTTTTCAAAAATCTGGCAACCCTATCTCCCCATGGTAGACATTTTGCTTCCGCGGGCGGGGATCGACAGTTGCTCGTTTGGAAATCTAATTTGCATACATTTGATGCCAATAGCTTTCGCAACAAACAAGCCAGCTCTCAAAGAGTCCAAATTGATTTTAGTCATGCAACAGCTCCACATAACTCCGCCATAGACACACCAGTTGCTGGAGTACCAAAAAGCTGTGATGACAGTATTTTAATAGATCAACGACAATCGGTGGCATATGGAATGCGTGATGGAAATTTTCTGGTGCTTAATAGCCAATATACTACAAGAGTGAAACGCTACAAGTGAAACGTTGAGACAGTAATTTTTCTTAAATTTCCAGATTTTATTTGCAGTTACATTAAGAAGCTAATAGAGGGCAGAGCTGTTGGTGAGGAAGGTGTCGAGTTACTGCAGTACTGCAACATTTCGCACGTGCCCCACTCGTATGGAATAGTAGCTTATGTCAAAATGCTGGTTTTAGTATAATGCGGCTTTCGCAGCATACCCTCACTGGCGCCGAGCCGTTGAAGAAATTTTGGCAAATGAACGTGCAAGAAATAGTTCCGATACCAGCAAGTCCATATTCTTGTTAAGGGTCATCGAAAAGTTCCTTGTGTTGTAAAATAATAAAGGGAATGCCGGATTATACTAAAGCCATCTTCCCGACATAAACTACTATTCCATACAAACACAGAAATATAAATGTATCTAAAACTGAATGACTCAAATCAAATTGGATTGCATTTGCATAATATACCTAATATTGGAATCTGTTTTGATCGTAAAAAGTACAACTTGCAATCATTTAGATTATAGTTTTGAAAGAAATTGATTGCAATCGTAAATTAAACGTTAAATCCGCACTATCTGCATTAACAAAAACTATACATTGGAATATTTAAAATAAAACGATTCATATTACGGAGAGTATTAAGTTCTAGGGTCCACCAGGGTACTTTTCTTCCTGGTAAACGGGTGGAAGCATGCGGAATTGAAAAGTTCGCAGCGTTTCGTATGGTTTTCTGGATCCTAGCCGCCTCCTTGTTGGTATTGTGTACATCAGCGTCCGGTAGCCTACTTGAGAGCAACGTATCCTTGTACTTTGCCCAGTCTGCTTTGGCAGTGTTATAATTGAAAGATTTGTAGTGGATTGGGGTATTTGGAGTTGACAATGAGATAGAGCATACTATAGGGAAGTGGTCGGGATGATCACTAAGATTGCTTGAGTGGGTATTTGGTTTTTTTCTGCTAAAATTGTCTGTGTTGACGTGTTCTACGTGATGCTGGGAGATGTGAGTGAGTGAGTGATGTTGTGTTAAAATATGGTGTTCTGAAAGAGATGAGGAGTACTGAGAACAGTTTGGGGTGGTGGGGTCGTTTTGAGTGCTAACTGAGATGTTATGGCTTGTGATGGGAAGAGAGCTTTGAGTAGGAACAGATGACGCGGTTTGAGTGGGTAAAGTGGTTGTAGCTGCTTGAGAACTGGCTGACGTGAGCTTTTTGTTTGTGTTGGCATATGTTTCAATGTTTGTGCAGGGAAGAGGGCTGAGTAAAGTTATAAAAGAAGATAGTAAAGTTTGTAGATCGGATGTGCTATTTGTTTCGTTTTTATTTTGCAATGTTGCTGTAGCGTTGTAACCATTATTTACAAGACAATCAACGTTTGAGTTATGCGAGTTTGGTTGAAGGAAAGTAGATTGTGTGGACCGAAGAGTAAGTTTGTTTCAGATTACCGCACAATGGGTTTTGTATTTTATACAGACGTCTAGCTTCATTAAGGTCAAATATTGTGCCTTTACAAGTATTAAGAGTTCCGTGCAAATCGATTGATACAGGGCATAAGCCGCCGAAGTTCTTACATTTCAAAAACTTTTTAGCTACTTTGTTAGATTTAGTGAGCACTAGAAGACTTCCCTCACGCAGGATGCTAACTGAGCTGTATTCAGTACTAATTCCATCTAAAGCTTTCTTTTTAGCGAATACGCTGTATTTAGAGAGCGAATTAGAGCTGTCAGTAGATTTTATAACAAAAAATTTCGGGTCACTTTGGCTGTGGTTTTTCGTTGGTATTGGCAGCGTAGGGAAGGATTCTTTTGAATTCGAAGGTTTTTTGCGTTTGGATTTCGAGGAATTTAACATATCGTCAGACAATATGCTATATCGATTCCCCGAAAGAATCGAGGGGGGTTTTTCCATATAAGCTAATCACTGTACAAAATTCTCGCAAGCTGGTAATCTGAAAAAAACTTACTTGGAAAAGGTAACAAATGAAGCACGTGGAAAAAAACAAAGCGAGAAGTCAGCGAGAGAACAATTCCGTACACAACTGCTCGGGTCGAATGCTAGTCGGTGACTGGTGATCATAACCGTGGAAACACAATGCCGGCGAACGGCGAACTCACCACAGCGAAATTGCCGCTGTCAAAATTAGTATACCCGCCGGTATATGAAATTGAACACAGCCAATGCGAAATGCGAAGTTCGCTCGGCGGCGTTTCGTGGCGATAGATTTAATTCCATCGCCACTGCTGGGCGAATGAGGTAGTGCTTGACAAAGGTGGCCGCAGTTTTTTTTTGTTTCAAGGTTTTAGAAGAAAACAAAAAATTGACAGGAATATTTTGTGTTGGTTTGAAAATATAATACTTGATTATTTTAATCTGGCTTAAAATAAGATGATTTATAAAAATTTGTCTTTGTTTTATAAATATATTCTTTTTATTTCCCCATTTCTAAATTTAGGTTAGTTTTTTTAAAACATGGTAACCGCGACGAAATCAGCTGTTTCTTCGGTTGTTTAGTTTATAGTAGCCAAACAAAATAATGGATATCAACGAGATTCTCATCGAACAAATTAAACAAAATGATTGTTTATTTAACTTATCACATCGCGAATACAAAAATGTGCACAAGAAAATGGAAATATGGGAATCAGTTGCCCAGTCTTCCAATTTGAGCGGTAAGTATACAGGAGTTTACATGTGTATGTACATATATGGGCAAATCTAAAAAACAGGTAACCTTGGTGTTGTTTAGCTTTATATTCACTGTTGGAAACTATATCAAGCTGGTTGCTTTTGGATATAATTCATTGACGTATACTTGAAGCCTCAAAAAAAATTTGGATCAATTTGCCGCATAACTTTTGAATTATAGGTGTTTAAATAAAAAAGAAAATGAAAACAAGTGAATTTTTTATGTAATTTTTAAGAGGTGAAAAATTAATTATGCCATAACTTTTGAAGCACACCATATACTGATATGAAATTGTATGTGCAATTAGTACTTATGTGTACACTTCAAATGTAGTAGGTAAGAAAAGTGTGCATTAAAAAATAACGAAATGGCAAGTAACTCAAAGTCTGTAATTCCACATTTCACAATTTTCAAAATTTTCGGTTTATCGCGTATAGTTTTTGAAGCATTTAAGTTTAAGAACTTTTTAAGTATGTATTGTATACTACAAACAATTACGAATAATTTCATACCTGAGCAAGAGCTGTGCTTTCAGAATAAACCAACTTTTAAAGATAAAATATTCTGCGATCTTGAGCGTAATTTTTATTCCAAAAACACTTTAATTAAAGCCACATTTGGAAAACACGTCGAAACGATCTAAATATTTCTATAACTGCTAGTCCTAATAAAATTACATATACCTGTAAAATGCTTCAAAAAATTTATCTCTAGAAGTGTGTAAAAACCCTGATTTACTACTCTTAATGATGCTACTTCTTTTAGTCAGAATATTTCGAGAGTGGTATCAAAGCAACTTTTTTTCGACAAATGTTCTGATAGTTGCTCTTACTTAATTGGAGCCTTCTGAATTCAATGGCGTCCTAAGTTTTACCCTATTGGCTCCACTTTTCGAGATAGCGGTACTTGAAACTTTCCTTAAATTTTAACTATTTTATAAAAAAAGTCCCTGGGTTTTGAAGATATTTTACTAAAATTTTGCACATAACCGTTTTTTAATATTACCTTAACTATTCCATAAAATCATCGAAATCGGTTCACTAAAACATATAGCTCCCATACAACTGATTGATCTGAGACGTTGTTTTGCGTTATAACTCCTTCAATTAAACAGGTTAAAATTTAGTATAGGTTCAATTTAACATATAGCACGCATACAATTTATTATTCAGATATGAAGTTAGAGTTATTGCGCAAAAACACATATCTGAGTAATCAGTTGTATTGGAGCTATATGTTAATGTTAACCTATTTCGATAATTTTAAGGAATAATTAAGGTAATATTAAAAAACTGTTATGTGCAAAATTTTAGTAAAATAACTTCAAAATTGAGGGAGTTATTTATAAAATAGTTAAAATTTAATCAAATTTTCAAGTACCGTTATCTCGAAAACCGGAGCCAATCTGGTAAAACAGGGCATGCCATTGAATTTAGAACATCCCAATTAAGTGAGTTCAACTTTCAAAATCTTTCCTCAAAGTTTACAACTTGAACAGCGTAATTTCAACCCAGCTTATTCTTTTGTTTTCTATTTCATGCTTATTCCTCGTCTAACTTTTGAAGCACTTGATGAATATGAATTACACTTATATTAATAGATTTATTAAGAGATTACGAATAAAATGATATATAAAACATAGGTGTGCTCACAAATTTAAAAATTAAAATTTTTTGTTTGAAAGTGTACCTATTTTTTAGATTTGCCCATATACAAGTGATGTGCATGAAATAAGTATTAAGCCTGCTCCAGGTACTCCAGGATTTACAGGAAACCCTGTTCCGCCTTTAATAAACTTGATGGAAGGTGGCGTACGGGAACAGTTTCCTGTAAAAACCTGCAAATCGTGAAGTAGCTGGAACATACTTATTAATAAACAATTGAGGGATTCACAAAGGTGTCGTAAGTGTCTTATTGTTGTATGTCGTAAACTTTAAAAGCTTAAATAAATGCTTAGAGAACTTGAAACGACAACCAACTATTATTTAACACCGCAAAAATTCATAATATGACTTTGATTTTACTTTACGGACCCCTTTAATATATTTTTGGGCGTTTAAAGTTTGCGACATACAACAATACGACCCTTACGACACCGTTGTCAATACCGCAAATATTTCTACCAGCGGATGCATGTCGCAAGCGCTGGAAAGAGCTCCGAGATGCATATAAGAAACGAAAGCGTTCTGAGCTTCTTGCGTCTGGAAATGGCGCTCCTAATCCTGTTAAAAGATGGAAATATATGGAAATGCTAACTTTTTTGTACAACTACACTGATTCTAGACCGTAAGTATGCGCTTACTCTAAATAGTGTGGTTTAAAGCATCCGTATATATACATACACACATAAGTACATAGATACTTATGTGCATACATTCATTTCAAACCCACGGCTGTGCACATTTGGTATTCTTATGTATGTACTGTGATATGATATGAAAAATATGGAATCTCTTATTAAAATACATGAAAGCTGCCTATTATTCAATTAAGGCCTTTTATGGGTACGGTTTAGTTATTTGTATTTGTATTATGGAGAGTGGTGCCTTTTCATAAAGATCGGTCCATCCTCTTTCGTTTAGGCGGGCGGATTTGGGGGCCACGCCTTGCCCCCTCCGCCACCCTAAATCGTTGTACAAATAACTAAACTTTTCCCCCTTTTTTGTGTTCTTGTTAATAAAACTCTTGTGTTTTTTGTAGAACGGTGGGAAATGTTGAATCGGATATTGTGTACGAAGACTTAGTGGATTGCTCCATGTCTACAATCGTGGTTGAAGATGAAAGTGAGGACCCTCCGCCAAGAAAAGTTGTGACAAAGAAACAGGTAGACACCGAAGTAATCTCGGCTTTTAAGGAAGCAATGAAACAATGTTCAGAAACCGTACAAAAATTAGCTAGTATTCCTTGCGAACAAGAAAAAGAACGCGATTCAACATCACTTTTGTTTGAAAGCCTGGCAAAAAAAATTTCCAAAGCCAATATATCCCAAGAAAATTTGAGCATTATTGAATGCAAAGTTGTTGCTTTATTTTATAAAGAACTAAGTTAAGTGATTAATTAATTAAAGACGGTACTTTAGGTAATAAAAATTAGTTCTCCAAGTACAAATGGGTGTATAACATCTAATATTTATTGAATAAATATGTAACATTAACAATTAAAATATAACATCTAATATGTATTTAATTAAATGTACTTACATACAGCCTGCGATAAAACGATAGCACCTTAACATGTTGACCAGTTTAAACTACTTTTCTTTTGTTTCTTTTTTTAATGTTAAATAATTTTTTATAAAAGTTCTTAGAAGCTATAAAACTGTATACTTATCATTTTTCTAGAAATTCTAATAATAATAAAATAATAATAATAGATTGGCGCTTACACATATGTTAGTGTTTGGCCGAGCTTCTCCTCCGATTTGTGGTGTGCGCCTTGATGTTGTCACACAAAGCGGAGGGACCTACAGTTTTACGCCGACTCCGAACGGCGATTGTATTTTTATGAGAAGCTGTTTTTCATGCCAGAAATACACTCGGAGGTTTGCCATTGCCTGCCGAGGGACGACCGCTGTTAAGAAAAAACCTTTTTTCTATATTTTTTGCGACGTTGCTTTGACCAGGGTTTGAACCCAGGCGTTGCGGAGTGGAAGCGCGCACTGCTTACCACTACACCACAGCGAAATTCTAATAAAGCTTTGAATTTTCATGAAACTGGAATTTTTATAATCTTCGCACAAAGTTTGAAATTTGGATTAGTATGGATTGTAAGAACTTTTATAAAAAATTATTTAATATTAAAAAAAGAAACAAAAGAAAAATAGTCTAAACTGGTCAAAATGTTAAGGTGCTATCGTTTTATCGCAGGCTTTATATATTTGAAATTAGTACAAAATTAGAAAAAGTTAAGTTTTGCCTTTTGTCTTTTGTGTTCAAGTACAAATCGATGTATAACATCTAAAATGAATTCAATTAAACTTATAGTAATAATAGAAATAAGTAAAAGATAAACACGGTCAGCTTGGGTAATGTTTAAGTCAAACGTTGTTACTCATCAAATATTACTAAAAATTGTTATTATTACATCATAATCAAGTGATTTGTTTTACGAAAAATTAAGGATAGTCGAGGCATCTCTTGAATCCTTCAACGGAAAATTACAATTTTCAGCTCAAATCACTTGAATAAGAGTCTGAAGAAATATTGGAGAGGCAAGAACGTTTGGGTTAAACCTTATTGAAGGGCACCGTCTACATATATGTACAGTTGCTGTCAAAATAATAGCAACATAATTAAGAACGGTCTTGCTAGACACTTATGTTTATTTATTTATTTTCATTTTAATTATAGTTCGATCTATAACAAGGACTACTCGTGGTTTCTGTTATAGATCGAACTATAATTTAAATGAAAGTTATTAAAAACAAATAAATAAACATAAGTTGCTAGCAACACCGTTCTGAATTTTGTTGCTATTATTTTGACCGCAACTGTATGTATGTATACACAATTCTTATCATTTTTTCATTAAAAAGTTGATGTATGCACAAAGAAAACCTAAAAATAAATGAACTCCAATCTAAGTTTTGTTTTCAGCGAATCTTAAGAAGTATTATTATTTTATTTTTGTTTGAAAGGCAAGGTAAGGGTTTTGTTTAGGGCTTCACCCAAACTGTACTCAAACAATAGTATCCTTACTTGGTGATCAATTATGATTTGAAAGTCGATTTTTACGTAAAATTGCATGTGATTTATAGTAAAGTGCCGGTAAAATCAATAGTACCGCAACAATTTTACTATTTTTTTGTTTGTTTGATGTTCATTATTTCAAACTTAGTACAAAATTCAACAAATTTTCACCAAACTTTCAAAAAATTTAGTATGAATGTATGAAAACTAAACGAGCAAAACAAAAATAGTCAAAACCGGTCTTAACTAAACTTAAGCACCATTAGTTATCCAGTAAATATTCCGTTAGTTCCTCTCTCAAGGTAAATGCTTCCGTTCATATCCGTCGAAGATTGCCTCCATGTTCCAGGAGTAAAAATCCCATTTTCCTTGCGACTAACTAAGCTTGGATCGAAGTAGCCCCCATTCCTGTCAAGCATCAAATAATTGTGCAGAACTACTGTGGTTAACACTATTTTGTCCGCATTTACTGGGGCTGCATTATAGTAGTGTGAAGAATTCTCCACCTGTTCGCCAAAATTCCAAAGGTGTTTTCGATATGCACCCGGGCAGATGATAACTTTTTATTAAAATTTAGCTTGCCGGTTGACAAGTTCCGACCTGGGTATGGACGCATAAGATTTCGTCTAAGAGAAAATGCGTTGTCTCCGACAAAAAAGTATGGAAATATTTTGTCCGTATTTACCGGGAAGGTTATCATCTGGGGGAATTTCAAGGTTGTTTCTTAGAATCATCCTGACAAAGGCGCTGCGGGCGAAAATTCCCCCATCGCTTTGGCTTCCCAACGCACCAACGTCAACGAACACAAATGAGTAGATCTGATCGCATATTGCCATGAGGACGATACTAAACGTTTTCTTGTAATTATGGTAGAGAGAACCACTTGATTTAGGGCAAATTACTTTGATATGTTTGCCATCTACAGCTCCGAGGCAATGCGGCGTTCCAGTTTTTACATAAAACCTATTCATAACCGTAAATTATATTAAATAAACGTCTACTTTTTTGGGTACTAACCTGTCAGCAATGTTTTTCCACTCTGTCTGATTTGGATGAGCTAGGTAAATCTCATGGAGCTCCTGCCAAATCGCATCGCAGGTTTCGTATATAATTTTCCTAACTGTTGAAAGACCCATCTTATAAGACCAAACTAAATACTGTGGGCTACAACCTTGTGATAAATACCTGAAAATATATTTTTACATTTACTTTTATACATATGTACATAAGTGTATGCATATGGCAACTAACTTACATCAAAGTGATTCCCAAACGAGTCATTTATTGGTTCCCTTTTAGAAAAGCGTTGTAGTCGCCCTCTAAGAAACGTAAGAAGAACATTAAATTTTTCGATGTTCATTCTTGTTGCCTTAAAGAAATGCTCCTTGTCTTTTAATTTAAGTTGTGCAAAGCAGGTCTGATGAAAACTCAAATTATTTCTTGTGAGATTCACCGGCCGGATCCACCATCTCCTTTTCAAACGCTGGCGGGCAAGAAGAAATATCTTTATCATAACGAACATCACGTTTAATATTTTTACAATTTTAGTGAGCCGCACAATTTGTTCACTCATTTTTACATATACACACGGTGACCATATTAACGAACATAAAATAAAGGACATTTTTCCCAATGATTTTAAAATATGAACATACAACTTGTATGATGGTAATTTAGATCAAATATTTGCGAGTTAATTATATTATTAAATTGTACAAGTTGCTCTTCTCGAAAGGCGCTTTAACCGGATTTTGACCGATTCCGAAAAATTAAACCAAATCCTTATAAAGGACTTCGCCATCCTTTGCTGCCACAATGCGTTTATCATAATTGAGCGGAGGTTTATTGTTATTTTTCAGTGGATCTGAAAACTTGGCGTGCAACACGATCCTGGGCATAACTTTCCCTGTGATTTTGTCAACAATGAATTTTACTCAAAGTTTATTAATTTTTCTGGGAAAATGTCTAAGTATTAGTTACATTTTTTTTTTTCAATTACATAAATTTCCCCTTTTCAGTATTATCAAGGATTCGTGACCCTTAAGTGGGGTGCGAAACAAACTGACGAGGTGTTTCATTCTGTTTCATTATGGACATTTTTATTTTTTCATATTCTATGTTTAAAAATTTACCTCTGCAAAATCCAAAGCTAATTTAAAGGACAGTTTAAGAAATAAAGGGCAAATGGCGTCCTTTATTTTGACAAAAATTATAAAGGACAGGGGGATAAAATAAAGGACTGTCCTTTAAAATAAAGGACGGATGGTCACCGTACATATACACCAAATATTTACTATTTTTCAAACGATTGTGTCAGCTGTTTTCGTTACCGCTCTAATTGTGTTAAAGCAGGCGAAATAGCTGGGCGAACGGTGAACGACGGCATCGCCCAATTCGGCGAACTTCGCCGTTCGCCGGGTATTGGGTTTCCGCGATAAATCAAATCAAAAAATGTTATGAAAAGGTATGAACAAAAACTTGTAAATATTAAAATGTAATGGTGGTAAGTACATTGATGCTATGCTTTAGCTTCCGGTTAAAGAACAGATGTTCATGCTTTACGGGCCTAACCATCTGGATATGGGTTCCATCAACAGCACCTATATTCCTGGTAATCCAAATTTTGAGTAAAAATTATTTTTGGCATCACGCTTTTCTTGCGCGGTTATTTCGAATTTTATGTGCTTCGGACATATATGTAATACTCCTATATTGGCAGTAAGAGCTAGTACCGTCCGAAAACACTACAGTACAGATATATCAATAAACACGTACGAAAGAAAAGGAACACATACGTTTATAAATAAACATGTACACGACACGTTTACAAACACGGCACTCAAGTACACAATACATTGACAAAAACAGTACTAGACTGTCTCGCTTTGATTTCGGAATGCTTACACATTGAGATGTTAGCTTACTACCAATATAGAAGTATTACATATATGGCTTCGGACCACTTCCGTGATACATTTTGAAGTCGTGGATTGCGCTAATCCTGCAAAACGGTCTTTGATGCTGATAGCCCCCTTGCCCAAGAAATTTTAGAGTAGCAGCAAGTTACTGTCGGAGTTACTGCCGTAGATCTTATAGGTGCATGTAATTCATGATCTATGCTTCTCAACACATAATTGAAGGCTTCCTTGGAAAGCCGAAATTTTTTTATGAAGCTATAATTTCAAATATAAAATTACAAGTTTACCTTCTTTCCGATAATTCATCAATAACAAAATTATCGCTTATAGCCCTTCTTGCATTTCTCTCTTTATTTATTATTTTATTTTTATTATTTATTATTCATTTCTTCGTCGTTCCACAATGCAATAGAATCCATTTTTTGTTTGCTTATAAAATTAAT